GAGAGAGAGAGAGGGGGAAGTACTAGATAGGTATCGCTTACTTCAAAAACATGCTAATTATTTCTTTAATTACATGTTCAATTTAGGCATTTGATTTTAAAATTTAATTTAAGAGCAAACTTGCAGAATTTTTTTCTTGTTGTTAGTACACGTAGAATTTGTTTTTTAATATGTCTTTTTTAAAGTTATAGTATAGTAAAATTCATTACGACGTGGTGGCACATTTATGACTTCAGCCCTATGATTTCGTTTAAAAGAATACGTGAGTTATGTTTGTTGTCATTATATATATTAAAATTATTCCCAATGACGGGCTTCAGTTACTACATAAAATTAAGTGGTATAGTGAGCATACTATTACCTATGTGTAATTACATCAGCATGTAATGCTGTAATGAAAACTCTAACTTGTGATTAATTTGTATTATTAAACCTTCTTGGTATTATACTGGCCAAATGTAGTGGCCCATCCAATGCTAGGACAACTATGGGTAGGCTAAGAGACTTCATGAGAGACATTTCCATGAAAGTTAATTCAAATTAGAATAAGTTAATGTTATCGTATGACGTCAAGAGTATCGGAAAATAGGATATGAATTGGCCAAGAAAAAATAAAATTCGCACTACATAATGGTGGATACGTGGATACGAATGTTACATATTCACCAATGGAAAATTGAAATGTGAAGTGCTTGAGTCACACTGCTAATGCTTATTGGAAGTAACAGTATTGGAAGTAACGAATAAAGAAATTTGAACTGTTTTTGGATTAGTTTAAAATCGTACTGTCATGTAGTAATGGCTTAGCATTTTTTCGCATACCACTTTGTACAAACTAGCACTTGATGTTACGGATTTTGGATGAAACACGTCTGAGTGTTTTATGAAGTTGACGAGAACTTAGATGACATGAAGTAGTCGAGAAAATTGTTGTTTAGTTTCAATATTACCATCTATTGTTGAATTCAAAACAAACGATAAGCAAATGAGAAAAAAAGAAATTTCAAACATTATTTCTGTCAGTTTAAATAATCATTGAGATCAGAATTATGATGTAGAAAATTAGTGGATGTTGTGGTTGATTTGCTAATGTCGGCCATGCAAACGTAAGCTCGTAGAATTCACTAGGGTGAAAAGCAGGATTTTTTTTTTGGTGCTTTCTAAGTAAGCAAAAATTACACAAGGGTTGATTTGATTTGTTTTGCTTGGTAATAACAATTTCAGCATGCTTGGAAATGGAAGTGATAAGCGATGAAGTTAAATGATTTTTGAAAACAATCCACCGTAATTATCGACCGAGCATATCAACGAAATTATCTTATTTGAAATCAATGAAATAATGATGAAATTTGGTTGTTAAACTGTTGATGGTAACAATCTCGAACGAAAATTTTGGGTCCGCAATGCATTGCTATAGATGAGGCTTTTTTATTTGACAAACATCTGAATTAGTATGATGAAGCTGATATGTGAATTTGGAGCAGTAGTGGAAAAATAATTTGGATTCATTCTTTATATATCAGATAGTTATGAAATGAGCTGCTTAAATTTGATAATTATGAGTTTTAGCACGTATTAGTTGAAATGGTCTGATAATGTTTCGTGGACAAGATCAACATTAGCTTCGTGGTTAGTTTTGTCGAAAAGTCTGATTTCTCCAACTTATCCGTTCAATTTTATCACTATGTAACTTCCAAAAAATTTTCCACTCTTATTAGTAAGTAATAGGCGACTATATATATATATATTTGTTTCGTTCGTCCTTGCCTCCGAAAAGTTCAAAAAATTTTGCCGCTGTCTTTAGCCTTCTTCATTAATTACATTAATGCATAAATTGTCTTGACCTAATCTCTTACTTTTATTTATACACATCTTTGTTTTTTCGCTTCTTTACATTACCTTACCATCCGATCTCCGGCGTATTTTTCCGGCCGCTTAATCATATATCTGTCTACTTCCGCAATATCATCGGTTTTTTGGTTAGTTGACCTGTTCCGTCAGAGATTTCTTTCGTTCGTGGTGTTCCTGTAGGGGAGGAGTCAGTGAGGTCAAGACTTCTGGTGATGAATTGTAGAGTGCGATTGGAGGATTTGAATTTGATGAGATGAGAAAAGAAGGAGGGAGCTGTTGACCGTTTATGAATAGCTTGACGTGATCGTACACGCCCCCTAAGATAGATCTTCGTGAGGTTTAGAAGATGAGTTTTGTGTTAGTTGAAGTCAAAGGCACTATGGGACAAGGTAGGTAGTCTTATCCTTTTTTTTTTCTCAAGTCCAAGTGCGTCAGACTAATTTACAGTAATTAAAGTGAAAGGAAATGCTGTTTGAAATCGGTTTTGCAATAATTCTTGGAGAATTTGAACGAGTTGAGTTCAGTTTTCACTTAATGCAGTTTTAACCAGTTAAATCAATTCGTTTTGATTAAGTTAATGGAAATTTAAGTTGGAGCTATGACCCAAACGTGTAAAATAATCCAACTCTAGTTATTCGAAATTTAAATGGATCAAATTAATTCCATTTAGTCTGATTTAAACAAGTAAAATGAATTGATTTCGCAGCAATTTAATAGGAATTCAAATTATAGCAGTACCACTCTTTTGTTCATATTATTTCTTCAGTTGCTGAATCGTTCTGTACCTTCTGTCATGGAAAAAATTTTCGATTTTTCAGGAAGTGCTAATTGTGCGCAACGATATGGTTATCCATACACGGAAAAAATGTGTTTATTTTTGTGCATACTTTTCTTTGTGGTACTGAATAAACCTCCACAATGTTATGCCATTAAAGGGAATTCCGGACGCACTGGACGTGCCGTGGGTCATAGCGAACAATACATCAAACAGGTGCAAAATGATATATAATTTTTCTTCTTAAATTTCCAGTCATCCATAATAGGAATCCGTAATTTTTTTAAATTACCAGTCATATATCTAATCGAAAGTTAACCAATTTCTGTCTTTACTAGGGTTAATTGGTGAAGGCAAAAGTTGTTTAACTTTCGGCATCCCGACTTAGTTTCCTCGTGTTACGTTGTAGTGCTGAACGAGATGTATTTAGGTATGGTTTTGAAACGGATATTGTTCGGAAAGTGAAACTATTACAAATTCTCCCTCTCATACCACGAAAAGACTGCTGATATGCTGAAGCAGTGTTTCATGAGCGACATTGTAAAATCACTTAGAGGGGGTTTAGGCAATTTTAGAAATCAGAAGATCTTATTTTAGTAAATGCACGACATAAAGAGGTAGTTTGATTTGATTGACTTTTGTGGCTTGAAAAATTATTTGCTGCAATAAAAATTTCAATATTTTAGTTTGTGATTTCTTCTTAGCACTTTATTAAGCAGTTATTTTATTTATTCTTTGTCTATTACTTATCCTGTTATTATTTCGTTATTCTCAATTTTCTTGTTATTCTATCATCATTGTCAGATTTTACTTCTCTAAATCCTTCATTTACTGATAAGAAAACTAGAAGTTTATTTCTAGTATCTATCACCGCTATTCAAAATCAGATTCGCATTTTGCAGATATTTTATAACCATGCGAACTGTATTCATTCTGATTGGGCTTGTAATGAGGAGTGTCGCTTGGAATATGTAAATCGTACTACCGGATTATGCATTTCACCATCTCCAACAGAAACTTGCTTTGGAATACCCATCCGCTACAATTATACCTTTGAAACTGCGAATGTCATAGCTACATTGTCAAAATATGAAGTTCTCTGCAAATTCCCTCGGTACGATTACTTGTTCATAGCACATTCACCTCTATGAAAGCCTTACAAAAAGTAAAGCCGAAGGTAAAGCTAGATTTTATGAAGGTATTGCGAGTATTATGAAAACAGCCAAAAGGTTTTATATGGGTTGATCTAATCAGAATCAGTTCTGCTTTATTCGAGTCCAATCTCACGCGCTTCTATCCTAAGCTGGCAGGGTAAGAGAGGAGAGAAAAAACGGATTACCTTCGTAAAAAAGAAGAGAAAAAACATTATATATTATAAACACTCCTTGTCTGACTTATAAAAATTTCATCGGATATGACACTTTCCAATCTATATTGCTATTAATTCGCAACTGGTTTGTAGATGTTGGTCAGTATTGGGGCCTTTGCTGTGTGCTGTGGCGTATAGGCCATGCTCTAATCGAGCGTATTTCGAAGTTTCAATGGACAAGGTATATTTTGTTACGTAACGTATACAGCTAATAAAAGATTAAAAGAAATTAATTTGACAGTTTACAGAGGCCATCTGTTGTCGGTTCGTTGTAAGTGATCCATTCATGGTCAGGCCATCTCGCGCTGATTGACGAGATAGTTTTGTATCTTTTGTTATTTCCATACTACTCTGTCGGAATACGTATCAGCTAAACTTCAAGTTAAAGCCCAAGAGAGAATTCGTTCATATTAAAAGAGGGACTCTAAAGTAAAGAAGGAAGTTAAAAGATCATATTACTACTGGTAGCTTCGCACAATTACTTTGCTAAATTCCGAAATTATCCGACAAATTGCAGCCAGGCAAAATTGAATTATGGCAAGTGTTTCGGAAGGATATGTGTCAGCAAGCAGTTGAAAAATGTGACTTCCTCTTGGAAAATGGTCTCTGGCCTAGTTTTGTCAACTGTTCAGATACGATCAAAGCGAAGAACGGAAGACGGATTTTTTCGGATGGGTCTTGCACGGTAAATAACAAAGCGTTATAAACTGGAAAGTACGATGTAGCTGTAGTTTGTATGAGAAAAAAAGATAGCTAAAATGGCATTGTTTGCTTCGTTGATCTTTACCAAAAATTCTCTTTGAAAGAATTTCGTATTTCGTAAGACGATTTTTCTTAAATACTGTACTACCGTAGATAAGTCTTTGAAAGTTTTGGCTTTAAATTTTATTTGTTTGTGTGCCCCAATAACACAATAGATCTTTGCAACAGCATAGCAAATTAAACGTAAAGTTTTTGATGTTCTAAAACTTGTCTTCTGTGGCAAATAATAATTCCTTTTATCTCAAAATGAACATGTTTGCCATACTGTCGAAACATCTGACTAGTACGATTGCTAGATAGTTAACAATTAACTTTTGAAATGTTAAGGAATTTGATGGGATCTATTGTCTTCTTGCTTCTTGCTATAATGTTAAGATAAGCAAGTGAATCCACTCCATCAGCATTGCTTTATGAAACTGCGACCAAAATTTCAGGACTCTGCTCAGATCCTGAAATTTTGGGGTAAAAAAATTACTTTCTATATGCTAAACATTGGCTTACGCTAGGTAACTTGTAGTAACTTAAACTTATTATCCCGAAACTGTCACAGTGGATTAGATTCAATTCAGTTTTTGTTTCCATTTAGATGCCTTATGACAAAGAACCCTCAAAGATGGAACTAAAGCAGTGCCTCTGGCCTTTGGTTGGTGGAATAAGTCATAGTAAGCCAATGGCTCGACCGCTTATCGATGATTGTTATCTTCCGTGCAGGTATGCAATTACCCTTAGTTTTTAAGCGTATTTTTTCTTGGAAATGTGTTTTCTACAAATCCAATTCATACATCTAATATCATGTAATGATTTTTTATAGGTCACCTCTAATTAGCTCAAAGTGGTTATACGATGGTTTCAGGACGTTAATTTTCTCCTTTTCTTTATTTATTGTTGTTGGTGGTCTAGTGTGTACGGTAAGGATTGAATATTTTCTTGGATAGAATTCTTTTACCATGCAATTTCAGAAGCTCAAGTCATGCTTAAATGCACTAGGCTTTATTTAGCGGTAACTTAGCACGAAAGATTATTTTCTTTTTATGATAGTATTTAGTTCGTAAAATCTTGCTATGACTACTGAATTCTTCAACCAATTAGCTCTCTGATTTCAGAGAAACCAGAGTTAGTTCGTTTTTGCATACTCACTTCTCAGGAGCACTGATTATTAATGAGGAACTATTACTTATCTTCTGTTCTGGATTGGTTTTGGCAATTTGACTCCATGTTAAAAAGAAGGAAATTACTTTTACATTGAAAAGACATCTCTTTCAGCTTTATTTGTTCATCTTCTCACTTCTCTTCACGAGTGATCTTTGCGTTTATTCATTAACCCATGCACTTTTATGTGCATCAGTTCATTGGTTCATATGGTTACTGAGTTATGCTGATCGAGTGGCAGAACGTGCAATGTGTTTCGATATGTTAAGACGTGATGCAAAAGTTTTAAGGTATTTTAGCAGTTTTACTTAGCCACATATTGTGTTATAAGACAACATATTTTCATATTGAATGAGATTATGTAAAAATACTTTGGCAATTCTTAACTGAATCTTTATATATATATATATATACATATATATATATATATATATACATATATAGGTAGCGAACTTAATATGGGCGTCTATGATGAGAAAATCATCCTTGCTCTGCGAGCTCATTTGTGAAATTGAAGATTTCGGAATTGAGCAGTGAACAGCTTTGGCCTCTGAGACGTCATGAGCCTTTAAGATCTAGTGAGATCAGCAATAAATAAGAATCACTGAAGTTCTTATTTTTAAAAAATTACAGACTTCCTTCCTGTTCCTGTTCATCGTTGCTGCTTAAACATTAAATATGCCTAGTTTTCGGAGTTAGAGATTTACTATGTAACTTATTTAGTCCTTCAGTTAAATTTATCTGTTCATCTGTGTTCATCATCGGCATATGCTACCTTTAGAAATTTAGTAAATAAAGGATTAAAAAACTCTTCAGAGGTTTATTAGATTGGTGCAGCATTCAGTTTTGGCTTTTACATACTGCGATATTATCTGGCTTCTTTTGGTTACTGATTGCATTAGCAATTCAAATCGGTCGACCAAAATTCAGTTCTGACCAAACAATTAAATGGAATAAGCATAATCACCTTAATTTGCGCTGCTTTTTTCTTATTTGTTATTTGGCGGCTGGTTCACTGGCTACAATTGCATTATGGACAGATGCTGTAAGTATTCATTTGTTGTATTAATAATCAATTTAAAATTTAGTGAGAGAAAATATAAACTGAAATTAAAGTGATTGAAATATAGAGAATTCAGTTGACTGAATCAATGTCGCATAAAAACTTCTTTGGGTCACTATCAAAATATTGACCCCAATAGGTTTGTTCTTTATTCGTTAACATAGATAAGCTTATTGCTCCTCATTATTACTTCGCGGGACGCTGTCTAGATAATTGTCTTAATTAATATTACTCTATTGTGCGATGTTCATTGCTATTCATCATGACGGGTGGTCTATCCAGAAAGAAAAGGGACATTTGTTCGTATTCATCTCTTGTTGTTTAGATTGAAACGGATGGTATCACCGGTGTTTGTTATTTCGGATTTCACACGGTAAGAAGTGCGGCAAATCTATATGGTCCGGTTTTGGCCACTTTTATCGTGTTTTTGCTTGCATTTCTTTATTTTCGCAAATATGATAAAGGTAACAAATGTTCTATGATCTCTTTTTTATAATCTCTTAAACACAAATTTAGCATAACATGTGGGAAGAAAAGCACTTTTTGCGTCATATATTTGGAGTAAAACAATTTTCAGATAACACGACAATCGAAACTTCAAATGGATCGAAAAAACGAGACCAAATAGCACTTGTTGTGGACCACGCTGATGATCATATGGGATTATTTGGTCGTGATGATGCTAAGAAAAACGCCTACTCACAAATGGCTTCCTTTTGGCGAAGTATGCTATCCATATACTTTATTTTTCTTCATTTTGTTCTTCCTTAGTTTTTTTTTCCAGTTATTTTTCCCACAAACGAAAATTTTTTTGTTTAATATTTGCATTGTTGATTGAAATGAGAAAGTTTTTCGTTTTATTAGATCTTTGAAGATGAATATTATTAAATTGAAATTTTTAAGCTATAGAATACCTTACTTCCAGGTCTATTTTGCATTACTACCAGTCTCTCGTTTGTCTCAGTTGTAATACTTCTTCACTACAGCTTTTTTAGTGGTACTATTTCGGAACAAAAAGTTATTCTGGATTCCGTGAGGTTGCTTTTCTACCTGTTAATTATTTTATAAATTTGTAGCCTAGTTTATTTTCAATAAAGCAGTCTATCACCCAAAATGCAGCAGCTACATGTTCACATTCACTTTAGTACAACAAAAAATCATTTTTGGGTTCTGAATGTCAGCTCTCCTCAATTCTTGTCGCTGGTCAAAATTCCTGACTGTTTTGGCCTACCCTTTCAGCTTGTATTATTTCCTCTAAGTTACCTGAGTATCTGGAAATATGCACTTTTGATTTATCATGACTTGGAGTAACACTCATTATTATCGAGTTGCTTTTTAAATTGTTAGAATAACTTTATTAGCTCGTAATTTAGATCGCTAAAAGCTTCTGCTTTATTACCACGAAATATTTTTTATTTCTTTATGCAGATGTTCCCTAAACAAAACAATTATGGAAGGGCAGACAGGATGGTTGCATGGAATGATGCGTGATTTGAAATCGGATACTTTTTCGAGGCTAACATCTATCGGCAACAGGTATACAACTAGTATTTTCCTCATGATAAGTTGATATCTGTAGAGAAGGAAGAAGGCGCCATTAACCTAAATTTTTAAAAGATACTTCAAAGAACTAAGCTGATTTTTTTCACTATTAATTTTATTTGAAAAGAAAGATAAAAATCCGATTTCAATGAATCATCTAATTTATTAAATAATTGAGATGCGTTTATGTACTTATTTCAAAACTTTCCGTTAGAAGCTTGGTTTGTGAGCTCCAGGAGTTCTTCGTTCTTCCTCTATGTAGATTTACTAGTCCCATGAATAATATTGAATCTGAAAATGCAAAATAACGTGAATTTTTTCCAGTTTTTTGAGTGCTCCTGGTTGCGAACTGCCATTAAGCGTGGATGATCAATTATTGCCTATATTTCTGGTGTACTTTTTCTTCCCTTCGCTTCCATTTGTCACTGTTATCATTTACGTGTTGGCTGGATTCTGTGGCTATGGGATGATTGGTATTGAAAAAGTGCGGAACAAGTTCAATCCGTTTGTTTTGGCGAAATGCTCAGAATTCACACCAACAACGGAAAAGCAACAGTGAGCTTTTTTTTTTCACTGGGGACAACTTTGTATAATATTATATTTCAATTCCTGCGATCAGTTGATCGAAGTGCAATTGGTCATGTCTTGTTATGTGTCAACTATATAAATTTATATGAGTTGCATTTTTTGGTTGTAAATTGTCTGATAAAAAGGATCAACATGTTATTTTGTAAAAGAAAGTTTTATGTCATTGTACAGATGACTCAGTCATATTTTGATATGATGAAAGAAATAAAAAGTCCAATACAGCTTTACTAGCAATGCTTGTCATAAAAGATGAAAGCTTTCTGTGATGCACATCAAATGTTAATCAGTTTACATTTTGATCGAGGTATGCGCTCTGATTTCTAGACACTTGTGCAGCTTTCTTATGAAATCAGGGTGAATAATTAGGCTGTAATTATGATTTTGAATTTAGACCTGATGATGCGCTGATTACCGATACATTTAATTCTTGTGCCAAAATGGATCGGTCGCAAGAAGTATCTTACAAGAACTGTGAAAATATTAAACATTCGGAAAATAACGACGAAGAATCTCTCGACACATTTCCTACGGAATTAAAAATTAGGAGGTTAGTGTTGAAAGGACTGAATTAATTTTTCGAAGATTGTTGTTATGCCTGCGAAAGTGGCATCTTTCATTATGATACTTCGATGGATTATTTTTCTTTCAGATGTTTGCTATCCATGCTGCAATGACGATAGTTTTCCTGGATTCACTTATTTTTTTTTAGTATATCAGTGCAATATTGATATTGTTGAAATCTATTCGATTATTTTGAAATTGTCTGTTCATTTTCAGATTGGATGTTTTACAAAGGAGTAGAGAAAGAAGAAGACGCCAAATGGAAAATGGGTATTTTTTTTGAAACCAATGGATTCGGCGCAAATGGTAAAATCAAAATTAAAAATTAATTCGTGGTTGTTTTTGTTGTGTTCAAGAAAAAAATTGTTTTATCAGTTCACTTGAATTTCATTTACGTAAAAAAGTTGTGGCAAATCTAAAATGTCCATCCTAATTTCCTTTTAGATTCGGAAAGGATTTAACTAACTGTTTTCAATTCACTAGCATTGCTTTAACAACTTTACTGAAATCGAATTTCTGAATGATTTAGACATTTAAGGTAGATAAGTTTAGTATTTTTTAACTAGTTAAATGGCAGACTTGCTATTTCTTAATTTCCAAGAATTTTAGAAAAAAACCGATGTTACAAGTTACTATTTTACGCTAAATTCAGAAGATTTAACCGCTCATGCAATACTCTGTCGCTTACAAGTGCCGTTGCAGACGACATCCGTCCTTTCTGCTTATCAAAGCGGTCTTATCGAAGGTCACTGGCGTGAACGATGCGTAAATTATGAGAAGCAAATCAAGGCACTTTCAGCTAATTTACGCGTTGCGGATCATGAAATACGACGACTTGCTGGTTTGGAAATCTCGGAATCTATGATTTCGTCAAGTAAAAATAATAATTACATACATGCTACTGTCCCTGAAATTATTTCACTTCTGTAAATAGGGATGCTTAAAATATGTTAACGTAAATACCACATCACATCAACTTTATTTTGAATTTGTTTCTTGTCAAAATTAAAAGAAATTCCTCATTTTATACTTTATAAATTGAAATCTACAAAATATAGGGACAAGCTACTCGTCTCTTTAGCTTGTTTTTAAATTTTGTTTTAAAAGGTGGATTTGTTGGAGATCCGGTGATCTTTTTTTTCCCATTAGTTAAAGCAGTTGTATTAGCTGGCAAGAAGCTTGAGTGTCTATTTTTTGAAGCTTGTACGAAAGTGACCAAATCGTTAACTGTTGCAGTTTTGCTTGCTAATCAATGAATGATTGCTGGAGAAGGTTCATTTTAGGGAAACGAAAATTTCCATTTGCAGCTGGTCCAGTTGGTATGAATTACTCATCTGCTGCTGTCGCTGCAAATCGAATTCCATTGATTTCCACTAAGATCAGGTTGCAGAATAGTCTAAGTGATACGAGGAGTTTAGTTGTTGATAGTGGTATGTTGTTGCTTATGAATGCCAATATTTCGTTAAAATTTGAACGCTGTTCAATTTTCCAGAAATTCCTAGTCTTATCTTTTGTTAGATTGGATGTTAGATATAATTTAGAAATGTTCCCTTCTTTTTTTTGCACATGACTGTATAAATATTTCATCTATTTTTAATAGTTTATTTCAGCAAATCATGCAAGTAATCTAAGAACTGAAAATGTGGTCCCTTCTGAAATATGCGCTAGTTCACGGGATGTTCATATGCAACACAAATTTCACATCGATAAAGAAAATGAAACGATGATGTGTCAGGCGTCATCTTTAAAACCTCGCACTTTCTTTGGTACATCAGTCATGCAAGTTCCATCAGATGAGACTGCAGATGCTGGTCAGCTTTCGGAAAGTTATCATGGTAGTGATAGTTTCAATTCCGATGATGAAGATTCTGAAGAGGAAAGATTGTACAATGAAAAGGCAAGTGTGAACTTTCAAAATTATTTGCTAGACATGGATGACATATTTTGGAGTTTTTCATTATTTATTCATCTGTATTAGTTGAAATGAATTAAGCTGCATTTTTTAATCTTCATTTCATGAAATAGAGTTAAATAACATACTGATTAAAAAAGTATACTCTTATGAGGCAAAAGATATGGCGGTATGCAAAACTTTGTATATTTTGATATACATTTTCCTTTTTGTTTTTTGCTTTTTCAGGTGGCAGAATTGCAGAGGAGGAAACAATAAGGAAAGAGATTTGATTGACTTGTCTCTTATCGCAATCACATAATTTTCCAGAATATTTTTTAAAAAAGTTTCAATTTTTACTGTTTCGATTCATTCCGCACTGCTACGCTTAATTAATAACAGTTTTTCTTTTTTTCCTGAAATTATTTCTATCCGTTATAATGTCTTTCGTTATAGTCATCCGGATTTCTGGATTTATTTTGTGCTGGTCGTTTTACTTCATATTTTTTCAATTTTCTTTTTTTCTTTTGCCATAATCTGCGTTAGAGAGATGAGTGTCGAACTTGTATGCACTTAGTAATATCAATTTTGCGATAATTCGATGATGATTTTCTAATTTTTTGAAATATCGCTGGTTAAAAAGGCTTAATTTATTTCTTTTTATATTATCGTTGAATTTTCTGTTTATGTCATTATCTCATCCTTGTTAAAGTTTCTCTTTTTTTGTCAGTCAGAGTTGTACGTATTTCATGTTGTTGCAAACGGACTCAAATTTCAACGCAAGACAAACTGCTAGAATGAACGCCATAAATTATTAGCGCCAGATCAGTTTTGTTTTTCTTTTTTTTTCAACTATTCAAATGTTTTAGTCCAGTAAACAGTGAGATAACATTATCTTTCTGTAGAATTAGCGAATCATTAACTTGGCATGCTTTCAAGATTCTAGTTACTCAATATTAACCGATATATAATATTTGTAATTCTGAAATATAAAGTATTGGATATGGGTTCACTTCAGAATGAAGCTTGGAGAGTGTAGTCATTCTTATCGGATTGTCTTTCGGTGAATCTATTTCAGATTTAGCTGAGCAACTCATTTGTTTTACAATTTCTTTATTTTAAAGTGTTTTCGATTGTTTTCCTTTTTCTTTTAGTAGGAAATAAGCAAAAGTGATTATTTTAGTTTGTTTGCTTACATTTTTACGATTTGATGCTTATTACTAAGCAAGACTCTCCATTCTTTCAATTGTGCATGGCTGATTATGTTTGCTCATATAGACTGATTTAGATTTTTTGGTAAGATGCATTTTAAATTGGATTTTTCGAGTATATTTCAATATTGGAGCGAACTTTGCGAAATGGATAAATGTTACAGAAGTACGGAAGGAAAAAGAGAAGACAAGAAGCGAAGAGGAAAAAGCAGGTTATCCCGTGATATTTGATGCTTCAATTCAGGGACTGTATCGATGAAATTAGATATCGCGGGTTCACCTGCACAACATATATTTTGTTTCTATGAATAATTTTCTTTGTCATCTCGATAACCTTTGTTTGTTGAAATCATTTCGCCTTTTTTCATCAACTTTTAATCTAATTTTTGCAAAACCAAATTTTTATTGCTAATTTTATTGTGCTCATGGTTTCTTTTCTAAGCCTGATTTTCTCTTTATCAAGCTAGCATACACTTCAAATTTGCTACGAGTTTTTTTTTGTTCGGATTTATTGAGACATTTTAAGCTAACCTGCAATTCTTTAATTCCAAAATATTTCACGCCAAGTACCTGTTTTTTCTAATTGTCGTTTTTTCTCATACTTCTAACTGTTTCCAATCGTTGATTCAAAATTTGAATAGCTACTTTGATACTTAATTTAATCCATATTCTCATTGGTATGTTTCTTAGCAGCATTTCATACACAGCAATACTGATAATTTTCAGTTTTATACCTTTTATAACAGTTTATCTATGCATGTATATTGTAGAACTTTTCAATACATAGCATATGTCATTCGTCACTTTTAGCTAATTCAGTGAGATTGAAGGATTTTTATTGTTTCATTTCTTGCGCTTATCAGGAAAATTCCCACATTATCTATAAATTTTTGTCCTCAATATTGCCATCCTTTATCTTTCAAATTCTTTCTTTATCGCTTAACTGATAAATGTTATCACTTTAATCTTTCTTCGTCAATTCTGTTTGATAATTAAATTGCTTGAATGATTTGATCTATCCCAAATATACGATCTGAATGTTTATTTCTATATCTTAACCTCTTTTCTTTCTTAGCATCTCTTAGAAAAAAATGCATAAATAACTATATTAAGCAATAAGATATGAGAAGTTATAAATTGAGGTAGAATAGAAGTTTTGAGAAAAATATATTAACAGTGGGTATAAGTGAAGTGGAAAGTAAAATAGGAAAAATATGTATGTACTTCAATTTCATAAATAAATCAGTGCGGAAGCTGCAGTTATCTTTTCCATTTCATTAATACATTTGTCTATAAATGATCGTTTATCAATGTTTAGAAAAAATCGTTTTTTTTTCGTTTTTCTCTTCCGTTATGTTTAATTAATTTGTCATGTGCTGTATTTTTACAAATAAAAAGTTTCTTTTGTAAGTTAACTGTAAACTTGTACAGAAACAAAAGCTACCATAAGCTTTTTTGTAAAATATTTTTTTATAAAATGTCTTCGAAATTATTGGGATTCGGAGCGTATGTAAGTTTAATCCAATTAGATCTATTTGTTGGTGTTATATTTTGGTCGAATATAACTTGCGATAAGAAATCATCAAAACTATCTGATCGTTCGATATACTTCCTGATCTTCTGATGATGGTAAAACTTTAAGCAGGGCGCAGCATTTCAGCTTATTTCAGCAATATTTGCAGATGTTTGGAAAAGTTTGACATTGATACGCATTAAATTTGTTTCGTCCATCCGTTTTCTTAGATCATTTGATACTGTCGAACTTTTATGGATAAGTAAACATCATTTACCGTTGATTTAATAGCTAATGCACTTTGAAAGAAGGAGTTACTTCTTTTTCTATTCTTTTTTTCTTTTTTTTTTTTGGCAGAATGATCCGTAATCATTATTCTTTTCTGTATATCTGCAATGAATAGAATTTAAGTATTTCAGCCTTGTCGGAGAAAGTAATGCAAGTGATTTCTGGACGATATGTTGCGAGATGTATCGTTTCATTACCAAAACGATGGTCAAGTAAATATTTCTGGATGGAATTTGTTTTTTGTTCTTTTTTTTCTTTGATGGAGAAGGTGGATATCATTTTATTTTATCTTCATAAATATGGAAATAAATAGCAAGTCTGTTCTTTGGGAAATAAAGGAAAAAGTATGAAATTAGACTTTGAAAAGATTTAACGACATTAATATTGATTATACAATTGGTTAATCCTAAAAATCCCTACATTATAAGCTGTTTTTCACGTTCAGCATGTTTCACTTCACTGAGAATAGCTGCCGCAGATATGGCGCAAATTTGTAGGATATATTAGCTAATCCTCTTAAAAAGCCAATCTTGCATCTGATCTTGGTTTATAAATATAGGAGCCGTTACATTATCTTGATGCATGACAGAATGTATCGTGAAGGTTTCAATAAAGTTCAAGAAAGCGCTAGATTGTAGTTGGAAATAACCAAACAGTTCGAGTGGTTATCGTTATCCTAACTTTTGTGTGAATTAAATTAGAAGCTTAGACTATCAGTATTTAAAATCATCTTTGAAAAGATAATTTACGGTCGGTTGTAGAAGAATTACAAATCAGCCATGGCCATGTATTGAATTCTCCTTAATTGGGTTGTTATTGAGAAGAATGTTGCAGTTGAATATCATTTGTTTCAGGTGATAGTTTGGTTGTACATCGCGACAGCGAAATTAACAACTGCAAGACACCTTTTAAGTTCACACCAGAAAATATGAAGCGTATAGAAGTGATGGTTTCAAAATATCCACCAGAATATAAGGTGGTTTTTCGTTTGTTTCTTATTTTTGATGTGATCAATATTATCACCATTTACTGCATCCGATAACGATCTTTACTCTGCCATTCAATAATTTATTCTGAGACGTCAAATGTCGTTTCAATACGCTTTTTATAGTCTTAGATGACACCAAAATTTCCTTATATCGTAGTAAATGGTAATTCAAATGAAAAATTGAAGATGCATAAGTGTTTCAGAAAATTAAAGTAAGGCGAAAGCATGCTTTTCACGCTAGTGCGATTGTTTGATGTTTGGGGATTGTTATATGTGAGCATCTTTTGTCGTATTTGTCGTATCTTTTGTCATCTTTGTCTTTTAATTAGTCCGTTGGTTGAATATTTATTTTTCTGTAGCTGCAGAGTAACTTATAATAAGAGCATAATATAATATCATCATAATGCTATCTTTTAGTGTGGTGCACTTATTCCCATGTTAGATTTGGCACAGCGGCAACATGGATGGTTACCGATTTCGGCGATGCATGAAGTTGCTCGTATTTTGGGTTTGTCTTTTTTCGTTCTATTCTTCATGCTTTAGGATGAATTTGTGATTTAATGCAGTTGAAGTGTTAAAATTTCTAGTGGATTCTGGATTTCCTTATAAAAATTTTCACCTTATAAAAAAAAAAGAATCCGCTTTTATTACTTAGGAATTGCACGAATGCGAGTGTACGAAGTGGCAACTTTTTATTCAATGTTTAATCGAAAACCAATGGGGAAGAATTTTGTGCAAGTGTGTGGGACAACTCCATGTATGCTTCGAGGTGCTGAATCGATTATGGAAGCTATTACTAAAAAACTTGGTAATGGAACAAGTTTATCGGTTGCTCGCAATAATAAATCATTTGTCTGTGTTATTGATGCTGGAAAAGAATTCGCTGTTATATTGTCTATTCTACAACTTGAAACGACTTTTTATGGATTCTGTATTTCATAACTGTTGCATTTCATGCCTCACTTATCGTCCCAGTTATATAAATTGTGTGCTGAAGCAAGATTTAGCACTTTAAAAGATTATCATTTTTATCAGTGTTTAGCTTCATTAGCTTCATAGATTAGCAAGTAACACAAGTAGGATTTTGTAGAAAATTTAATTTCATGGAAGTAAATGAGTCATTTTCATGATGCTTTACGGGACTAGGAATTGATTATTTCAGGTATCAAAGTTGGTGAGACAACAAGTGATGGTTTATTCACATTGGCCGAAGTGGAATGTCTTGGTGCATGTGTTAATGCACCTATGGTTCAGGTGAGGTTTCGTCGTATCTAGATTTTACATAAATAATCTGGACATACTGTGATTCAATTGACTCATCGAGATCCTGGTTGAATTTTTTTAGCTACAGTTCTCGTGGCCGTTTCGCTCTTTCAAATTATTTGTGAATTGCATTTGAATTGAATCTTATTTCGAATGTCAAAAATTTGCTCATAACTTGTAGTTTAGATCAATGACGATTATTATGAAGATTTGACACCGAAGGATATCAGCGATATCTTGGATGAATTTAAAGCAGGTAAACGGCCAAAACCTGGTCCACGAAGTGGTCGTACAGCTGCAGAGCCAATCAGTGGCCTAACGACGCTTACAACACCACCAAAACCTCCAGGTTTTGGTTTTCAACCAGGGATTTGAATATTTGCAAATAGTCATTCTGTTACTGATTGATGTATATGTGATATTCCACAGTGCATGGGAAGTTAAAATTTAATTTCATCTATAGGCAGGTCTTAAATCTTTAGATATTGCAGCAAACACTGTTTATCGGTTAAAAACGTAGTTGATCTGTGTTTTCTTACTGTAACACGAATCATAGCTTTCAAATTTAATATGTCTTCAATATACATCATTATATATATATATATATATACATATATATATACTGCAAAGAATATTGTAAAGAATCAGAAATTACAACGAAATAGCGTTATAACGCCGGATGTGACGTACATTTGAGCACCTTTAAACAGGTTCATATTGCCTATTTTCAAACTGTTTCGTTCTGTCAGTTGTCGAGAATGTTGCTGTTGTTGCTGCTGTTCAATGTGGTCAAAAAGATTTCTTAATTTCGGGCATATTTACGAAAATTTTTATGAAATGAATTAGACAGGTTCGGGAAATCATACTACATTTCACTTTTATTCCTTTTGTGAAGCAACAAATTTCTGAAAATTAACTCAAACAAAAGGGTAATGCTACGCTATCCTAACTTTCTCATTTCTTTATACAAAAAATTTTTTCTGTTTGACTGTGACGAAAAAACCACGAACCAGACAAAAAAAAAAGAAAAATATGGCAGGTTGACACATACGACACATATTCAACCATACTTATCTAATAGGAGGATAGTGTGGTGAAATATTCTTTCGATGGTGGTCTTGCTGAATTTTTCAAATTTATTCATGATATATACCGAAAAAGCAAGTGAATGAATGATTCGTATAGTTTGAAGAAGGAATGTCACTGGTGGATAAATTAAATAAAGACAAAATATGGTCGGGATTTTTTCCCTCGCTGAAATGATCTGTATATGATAGAAATTGTTGAAATGAACGAATAAATGAATGGATTATTTAATGAAATTGCTTATCAACTTTTGGAATAGTCATTAGTCTAAAGATCATTCAGATGATAGAATAGGGAAATGAACTATCCAATAAGTGCTATTATTCTAAAACATTTAGATATTTCCCTAATGCTTCTTTAGATAACAAAATCGGAACCGGGATTCTATAAGAAAACGAATATGAAAGAAAAGGAGCAATCAGAAATTGTATTGCTTGTATGTGTTTTTATGAGTATTCCTATTCTTGATTTGATTTGTCTCAAGTATTAGATTCAGTTATATTACTGAAATTAAGTACAACTTTTCAACATATAACAAGCCGTCATGTACGCATAGCATATTCATAGTTGTAAAGGCGAACTTGAAATTCAATATTATGTTAAATGATCAAACGTTAAAATATCTAATACGATTTGATAATTTATCATTTGATCTTGTAATTAAAATCCAATTACAGCAACTATCTAATTAAAGCAACAAAGTGAACTTTTTTTCCTCTATATTCCTTAAAATATTCAAAAAGAAGACGGAGGCTTTTTCTAAAACGGAATAAATCGGATAAACCATTTTATTGGACGTTCGATTGTCCCGATTGTCCTATATTATGAATGCCATAATTAATGATTATACAATTAATCAAATAAAAGAAGAATGTTGATTTGCTAGATTTCATGACACAATTTCTACTGATATAATCAATTTAAGATCATGCATCATTTCAGATTATTTTCAAAATTTTATTTTTCTTTGCTTTCCCAATTATTTTTTGTTTGTATTAAAAAAATAAAGAAGGAATATTTCGGGTGCCGTTTATTTATTTTTCTTCGCTTTATCATTTAATTAAAGTAACGAGCAACATCGAATGCTGCGATAAGTTAGAGATAAATCTAATTTAAAAAAAAAGGTTGTAATTAACTAGAGAATCAAGTAATTAGTATCACAACTTGCTACTATTATTATTATTATTATTATTATTGTTATTATTATTATTATTATTATTATTATTATTATTATTATTATTATTATTATTATTATTATTATTATTATTATTATTATTATTATTATTATTATT